TATTAAAAATGATCTTAATTTACTAGAACTAAATGAAAATATGACACTAAATAGGACGCAATGGAGAAAAAGGATTCATGTAGCCGACCCCACGTAGTGGGATTAAGGCTTTGTTGTTGTTGTTGTAGCTGTGGCTTATGCCAATTACTGTTTGGCATACATGAAATTGATTGTTCTACATGAGGAGATTGAAATGCCCAATTCGTGCCAGTATCAAGCTGGATTAGCCATTTTGGACCAGTTCATACAACTAATCAAATAGACAAAAAAAAAAAGAAGGGAATTTTACATACATACCACACAATTCTTATATATTTACATAATTACAGTGATGGTTTTTAAATATGAATGTATAGGTGCTAGATATTATTTACATATCTAGCACCTATAAATTCATATTTACATGCAAACCACTTGAATCCTTAACATCTTGTCAAAAATACATATTTAGTTCTTTGACACATTTACTGTTAACTTTACTGAATTGTAATTTTTCTGCAAGGGCTGGCATGCTTACATCCTGCATTAAATCTAGAATTCTTGTATCAAGTTTTCATATTTGGTTTTTAAGTTACTTTTGAATTAAGAATCTTATCAAAGTCTTAGGCTACAGGGAATAAGTTAGCTTTGTTTGTTTGTATATTGGATGGATAGCTCAACGTATCTGCATCCAGACGTTGTTGTTCCTTCTAATGCGCCGTCTATGGAAAGGCTCCCCGATGCTTCCATTCTTCTTTCATCACCATCATTTTCGCCGCAGCAATACGGCGGCAACAACCGCTTTTCTCACATTGCCTCTGGGATTACGAAGATGGCGTCGAGGAAGAGGGAGCGAAATGGATCAGCTTTTGTTCATCCATCAAATAAGAACCCTAGAGGAAGCCTACCCAATTCAAGAAGTATCTCTGATACTAGCAGCAGTACCTTTATCCCGCCTCAGCTAAAGGGAAGGTAGTTTCTTTACGCCAATTTTTCTACTAAACAATATGAATGCATGCAATCAATTTTCACAATGATAAATGTTTATCATTTTTTTTTTGGCAAAAGAAACATAAAATAGAAAAGAGAAGAGGTAATCTGAATAAATTAATCATTAAAGTTATATTTTATTTTGTATATTTGAAAAGTAGAAAAGCACTTATTAGTCTTCAGTTTTTTCCAAATTCCATTATTCTCGCTATTACTATGTCATTTAACTAAAAAATACTCATTTTGATGCGGGTGATCTTTTAATCATTATTATTTTTAATCATATTGAGTGATGGAGCTTGAAATTTTTTTTAATTGGGGCACATAAGTTAGTTAATTTTTGTAAGGGCATCTAGGGCTGTAAAGGAGATGAGCCGAACCGAGCTAGGCTGATGCTTGTTCGAGGTTGAGCTTGCTTAGTAAGAGCATGCTTGACGGATCGAGTTTTTATGAATATGTTTGAGCTCAGTTTATACAGAGATCATCGAGTTTATTAATGAGCAACTCATTTAAAAACAAAATAAACGATACATGATCGAGCCATAGCGAGCTTTATACAATTGGTTTGTTTGGAAGAATAAACGAGTTGTATCAAATAAGACTTTATGTGCTTAAAAATAAACTTTTAAACAGTACTGTACAGGAGTGAGTTTTAATCTAGCCATTGTCAAGCTTTAATCACGCTTCTTAACAAGCTTATTCATGAGCTTTATCGATATTATTTATGAATATAAATGAATAAAAAAAAAGAAAAAGTTGTTCAAGCTTATTTATTTAGCAACCGAATTTTTACAAAAATTATCAAGCTTGTTCAATTAGTTAATAAAAAATCACGAACAAGTTCTAATTGAGCTGAGCAACAGATAGCCCGTCAGACGCTCTGTTCAGTTGCAACCCTAAGGGCATGAATTAAAGATGTTTATTGTGGAAAATAATATGTAAATTGGACATTATTAATATGATATCCATATAATTTGTATTTCACAATCTGTGCATATGTAGTGTTATGATATGAAGTGTATTTATGGCCATGTTGGAAACTATTTGTGAGGCATTGGCTGTGATTGTTAATTTTATTTCGATGTATGCCATTATTCTTTTCATTATATTAAGAAATTTCGCATTGTAATGTGGTAGGAGCAATGTTGTTACTGAAGATTTAAGGAAGCTTTTTGTGAAGCGGCACGCAGAGCCTTCTGGATAAGTTAATGAGCTTCCATGCAGTTTTCATGCTTTTGAAGAGTTCGATGTGGAAAATCTTATAATGCAGCTTTCACAACAGAACACCATGTCTGATTATTCCAGATGATGATTATTTGACTGTTTGATGTATATATGATCATTAAAAATAAAAGATTTTCATAAATACCACTCAATCCTTATGTGTATTTTTGTATCTATCACCTAATTGTCTGTTTGGGTAAATTGCGTTTTGACAGTTCTTTTAAAAAATTGTTGTTGAAATTTGCATTTCTCATCGGTCTCGATTAGGTGCGCTAACATTTTTTTAGCAGCGGTCTGATTTTTTTTTTTTTAAAAAATTGTAATAGTCAGTGCAGTTTTCTCAACATCATATTATTTTTCTACAGTTATTTTAACATTATATTATTTTTCAGCAGCTTCACGATTGCTTTTTAATTAGTTGTAGCTGTCTCAAACAGACCAAAAATTTTAAAATTTACATATATGCTAATTTATTTATGCATGGAAAAGTGTATTTCTCTTTTTGAAAGATAAAATAGTTGTATTTTATATGTGATACGAAGGATTTGGGTGCTATAAATGTAAAAATTTGATATCTAAATACATTAGAATTTGGTGATATGTATGTTAATCATTTCTAGTCAAGCATTAAATACTAATCGTTGATAGTTAAACATTGGTAATGAACTGGGTTGAGTCGAGCGGAAAGTTACTTGAGCTTGAGATCATTTGTCAAAGTCCTATTTGTGCTCCAGCTTTATCCGAGTTATTTGTGGTGGCATGCAAGCTTGGTTCACCTAAAATGATGGTTATTTGAGCTTTGTTTAAGCTCAATTCATTTTGCTAATCGAGTGAGTTTTATCGAGTTTATTAAAGATTAACATTATTGGGCAGCATGGTGGTTACTAAATATGGCTTCCTGAGCCTATTAATTAGAACTTAATGATGTTCGATATATCTTTAATTTAATGATCTAGGGAATAAACAAATATTTTGATGAGCATAAACAAGTAATTTGTGTCCATTATCAATTAAATAAATTTATAATTATGTCTTAAATAAGTACATTGTTATGAAGTAATTGAATTATTTAATGAGTTTATTATTTCTTTTTCAATAATATTGTTTATGATCATAAATGAATCAGACATGAGTGAAAGGGGATCTACCTTGGTGTATGTTTTTCGTTGATGATATCATTCTTGTGGATAAATTACTAAAGAATTCAAGTTTATTTTTCGGTCGCAGATTTGAAGCATATATTATCCTTTGGGCTTGACTTATTTCGAAAAAATTAAACAAATATTTTTACAAGAAAATCCAATGTTGTGACTCCGAATGAATCCTAAACTAGAACTTAACACGTGATTATAAATTTTGTATATGTTCATTTTTTGTAGGCTTATAATTAAAATGAGTGTTTCGATAAGAGACATTTAACTAGCCCTATATAACTCAAATTTTAAGGCCATCGAACGTTGTAGAAGAATCAACATACGGGTATAACAATCATTAGATGATGGCTGATTCTGCTATTATTAACGATCTTTACAACTTTCATGTCTCATCTGATCAACACTTCGACATCATCTCCATCCCTAGGTGTTGCCATCTCTACCCTAATGGGAGGGGGAATGTTGCCATATGAAAGCGCCTCTAGAGCCTCATTGCTCAACGTCAGAGTGATGTTGCATTCTTCACTTTCAAACATGAATGATTTTAAAATCAATCTTATTTCAGCTATATTCATTGGTGCCTTATTTGAATTCCAATAAGTGCAATTAATCTAATCAATATTGAATGCTAGTGGCTTGAATATGACTCCAAATCTATTTGAGTTTTCCATGTTACTTTATTTTAGTGCTTATGTGCAAGATCTCTTTCAAAATAAGAACGATCAGATATTCTCTCTCACCCTTTCTAACAATAAATAACGAATATTAAAAATTTTTTGGACACATCTTACATTTTTTATTTATTTACATGAGCGACACTTTTAACTTTTATATTTACTTGGTGTTATTAGATATGACTCAAATATCAGATAAAGGGACATATGCTGGAGCAGAATGGAGCCAGCCAACGGAGCGAGTGAGCAGAGTGGAGCGGAAGCAATTTGTTAAATCGGGGGAGTTTTGTCATGCAGGTTGGGGTGCAGGGGCAACGCCCTTGCAGTACAGTACAATGATAATTTTATAATTACAAAATTATCAATGTAACCCTAGGGATATCTTGTATTCTTTTCTGCGATTGAAAGAAAGCCGCTGCTTTGCTCCCGAGGACGTAGATAATTTGCCGAACCTCGTTAAATCCCTGTGTTTTCTTCTTGTTTTTTGTCGATTCTTTGCGCTAATTACTTAATAACATGTATTATAGATTTAGTGTAGCGTTAAAATATGTGTTGAATCCTTTTAGGATGTCTGGTCCTGTATCATTTGTGGGTTCACACAACCCAACAAAGGCCTGTGAAGGAAGAGGTGAAGAGGGATAGACATATGCTTTTCAAGCCCTGGTTTCCCCTTCCTTACAAGGGAGATGGAAGCAAGGAGATGATATATTTTAGGGGTTAGAACATGTCCCTGAAGGCTGAAGACCTATCTTTGAGGGACATTACAGAGAAGGAATAAAATATAAAAACATAGTTTGCATCGTTCGAAGTCTGTTCACGATACTCCAATTGAATGATGTTGACATATGTCTTAGACAACCCATAAATGAATATCAATGTATGTTCGTTCTTTAACGATAACATCATATGGCGGGTTAGTTGATATCAGTGAATGCTTACTGAGACCTCAGCAAGTCACTTTGATAAATCGCTCTGGCAGCCGATATGTTACAGCTCACACATTAGCAAGTGATGTTAGCATATCACCTCGACAACTAACATATCTAACTCCTTTCCTATGCATTTATATATCTAACACAAACTTTACTTTCATATATTTATCTCTCAATCTTTCCAAGCACACCAAAAATATCACTATTTTAAATTTTAAAGGATGAAATACACATTTTATGGCATAGTTATAAAAATGGAAGTTTAAGGATTAGGTATATAAATACATAAGAATTAGTGGTATACTTGTAAATCTTCTATAAATTTATAAGAATGGTTTGATATCTATATAAACTTCTTATTTCGTTTCATAAAAAAACAAATCCTTCTTACAAAATTTGCAGATAGCTGATTCCTCACCGTAGATAACCGGATCCTACGAGTCTATAAATACCCACGCTCTCAATTAAATCATCCTCACGACTACCATCTAGGGTTTGGGCTGCGCATCTAGGGTTTTCATCCAAGTTCTCCCAAATCACTTATTCTACCTTTGCACCCTAAATGGCCATCTCATTCACAGATCTTCACACCGAAGTCGGTCTCAAGTTTCTTGATGAATTCCTGTCCGGGAAAACCTATATCTCCGGGTAAATTTTCCTCCACGAGCTTAGTTCTACTTCTTAAAAACCAATTTTTTATTCTTTTGTTAAACGGATTCATTAGTTTCTGTGAATTGTTGAGAGATATTCAAGCTCTAACATGAAATTGGGGTAATTTTCTACTTTTCGATGCTTTAATAAGCTTAAAGGGTTTTTTTTTTTTCCCTTTGCAATCCCCTTTGCAATCAGAGATCAGATTCAGATTACTAAGGACGACATCAGAGTTTATGCTGCAGTAACAGGAAAACCTGGAGCTGGCTTCCAAAATGCTAGCCGATGGTATGAAACTGTATCATCTGCTTTGGCTGTAAGGTTTGTTTTTCTTTTCTTATTCTCCGTCTTATCTTGTTGCTATTATAGCCTGCTGTAGATTCATTGATTGAGTTTCAGATTTGTGTGAATATGATTATGACCAGGAGCTTGTAATTTGTTCCATATTTTTTGCTATTTGGAATGTTTGAATTCTGATAAATTGCAGTTGAATTATAGCAAAATTGAATCGAGTTTCTATGGAAAATTCACTTGTTTTCAACTTTTATGGAATTTTTTAGTATTATTATTTATGTTTTTTTTAAATAAAAAAAGATACAGTTTTATCAATCTACATGAAGATTATTTCCAGTGTAGCTCAGATCTTAAATTGTTCTTTGTTGGATTATACATTTCAGATTCCCCGGAAAAGCTGCCGGTGTAAAGATTGGAGGGCAAGTTGCAGCACCGGTTCCTTCTGCTGCTGAAACAGAGCAGGTAATTGTTTAGTTCTGCTGAATTTTGAAAATTTTATTTAGGTATTGAGCTCGAATTTGTAATACCTTTATTTTTCTAATGAGTTTTTGTATGATGTGGGAATTGTATGATCATGTTTCCGGGCTTTTTGGCTACAATAAGGGTTTTAATTCAAGAATGATTTAGTAAAATCTATGTATATGGCATAATTCTGTGAATATTTAGACGGTTTAACACCCAACCGCTTAGCCACGTGGGCAAGAATTATGATCCAATTTTGAGCTGAGTTGTGCTCAACTCAAAATTGGGTCTAAATGTGGCTTGAAATTGGCTCGTTGCTCATTGTATCCTATTTCAAGCCAGCTCGGCTCAAAATTGAATTGAACATGTATGAAATCTAAACAAATTGACTGATATTGAGCTTTTTGAAACCATTCTAGCTTGAAATTCCAGCTCGTTTCGGTTGACCTAGGTTATAATTAATGAATACAGATAAGTTTTAAAAAAACTAAAAAGTTTTACTACTTTTGCATATTAAATTTTTATTTAGCATTCTATTAAATAGATTTTATTTATAAACAAATTTGTAAATAATGAAGAAAACTTTATGCCGATCTTGAGCAATTTCAAGCTCAATTTGTGTATTGCTTGAAATCGGCTCGAAATAAATTCAATTCATGTGTTTTAGCTCACAGTTCAGCTAGTTTACTTCAATCCAATCTTAATTTGAGCCAAAATTTGAGTCAATTCTTGAGCGATTGATGATCTTCGAGCTAAATTGTCAGCCCCTAGTATAACTATTGTTTAAATCATTCGTAAAATAGGATACCCAATAGCCCTTGTTTTTCCAAGTGGCTATGCTGTGAAATGGAAATTTTAGATTATCTTGAACATGTATCCATCTCAGTTGTAATCGACATCTTTTAGTGATTGATTGATTCTTAACAAAATGACAGATCAATTTTTATGATTTATTGTTTTTCTATGCTTACCCCGTTGACATGAATATTACTCATTTTTTAAGGGGCATTTACATACACACCTCTCAAGTCTTTTGTATTTACATATGTAACCTCTAAAGATTACTTTTTACATTTAGGGTCTATCTGGTAACAGATGTAGAATAGGATTTAAGCTGGATTTAACATAAATCTTGCCACTGTTATTTTGGATAAAAATCTTTGGATTTGATGTATCCGGATTTCACGGATTCGGGCCTTAAACTCAGGATTTACTAAACACCGTGAATTAGTGGATTTAGTAAATATGGGACGGGCACTTTGCGCAAAAAAGAAAAAAAATGTGAAGTTATCTTCCTCGATGATTTCGGGTAGGAGAGGAGCAGAAGAAGGAAAAAAAAAGGGAGTTTCGAGTCTCTATAAGATGCAATCCCATTGTTGTATTCCAAACTATCTCTAATTGTGATTCTATCGCGAGGGATCGGTGACATGCGATGGTTTTGGACGAAACAAAAAGGGGCGGGGGAACATGCGAGGGTTTCGGGAAGAGGAGCAATGTAGGCAGCGGGGCTTCGGGTAGAAAGGTGTCATGTGGGCGAGGGTTTCATTAATTTTATTTAAGTTAATTTTCTTAATTTAATTTTATTTAAGTTAATTCTATTAATTTAATTGATTAATAAGTAATAATGATTAAAATATTATCAGATTAATTATACTTAAATAAATTTATTTATTATTTTTATCATTAATTATTCGTTCAATTAATTTATAAGTAATTATTAATAAATATAATTAATAATTAATTAATGATTCTTTTATAAATATTAAACTTTTATTTAGTAATTAATTTAATAAAAAATTAATTAATAGTTAATTAGTTTAGTAAATATATACTTATTAATTATTATATTTTGAATTAAAATATTAATTGAATTTTAGAAGTTGGTTTGGCTATTTTAGAATGTTTTAAGAAGTCAAATTTACATGATTTGCTAAATTATATTTTAATTTGTTGTTAAAGTCTAATAACCATAACAAATTTTTAAATCCTGATAGAAATTGCCAGAGAGTTTTAAGGATTTAACATAATTTATTAAATCCATTGCTAAACGGATTTACAGGATTTAGTAAATCCTACAAACTTAAATCTCATCCGTTGCCGTACAACCCCTTATAGCACCCAAATCTTTCATATCACAAAAAAAAAAACAGCACTACTTTTAATTTTAAAACGTGAAATACACCTTTTTTTTAAGACGCGGTGGCTTGTATGTTTACAATTGAAGTTTAGATGTTAGATATGTAAATACATTAGAATTGAGTGGTATTTATGTGAATATATATATATATATATATATATATATATATATATATATAACAGTCTGTTTTTATTTTTAGGCATAATTTTCACATCAGGTAATTCTAGATTCATTTCACTTATGCTATTTACTTCTGAATGATTAACATTCTATTTGAATGTTAGTGTTTGAGATAAATGTTGCTAATTAAGTGTATTCTAAGAGTGTTAAATTCACCATAAAAGCACATGCTTTTTGTTTGGTGAAGATAGACACTTAACTGAACAACGCATTATATGATTATCTTATTGGGCAAAATTTTACTGGGCATGTTTTGATGAGTATTTTCATGATCGGAGTTTCTGCCTCGAAAATTTAGAACAACACAGCATACCAGGTCAAAAACATATATACCGAACAATTCTTATATACTTAACATATCCAATACCTAAACATTCATATTTACATGGATAGCAATCATATCAAAAACGTCACTATCACCTACTTTTAAAAAGTTAAATGCACTTTTTCATGCTTTGGTTTATCACACCATAATGTTATAAACTTAAATATGAACCATAATGTTATAAACCTAAATATGAAAATTTAGGTATTAGATATGTAAATGTAAAACGAAATTTGTTTGGTATCTATGTAAATTTCCCAAGAAGAATTGAATGTTCTAGATATGTTTATAAATAGAGCATTTTGCACTGCTAAACTTTTGCATTCATTCTCGCAGCATTCATTTTTGGTATCATTCTAGATCCAAATCTGTGATTAAAGTTTTATATTTCGAGTTTATATATACATATACATATATATATATATATTTATCATTGCAGTTAATGGCAGTTGCTTAACTTTTGAAAGATCTTTTAAACATTATTATTTGGTATCATAATTTACATTTTAATATATAATTTACATTATGTTTTTTTATGTTTAAACATTTCTTTAAAATAATAGGAAGATGTACATACTTACCACTCAATTCTTATGTATCTACATATCTAACACCTGAACTTCAATATTTACATGCATACCGCCTCACCGATGCATGAAATGGTAGTATTTTTATGTGATATGAATGATTTGGGTGATATAAATGTAAAATGCAAAATTTAGTTGTTAGATGTGTCAAAAAGCAAAGTTTAGATGTTATGATTTAATATGAAATATTTATTTATGTAATTTACAATTGTGTTCAATAATATTATGAACCATTTTCTTAATGTTCTATTTTTATTTTAAACTTGCTTAAATTAGAGTATATTTGTATCAGTTATTAGTTTATATGTAGAACTTCCTTTAGAACAAAATATTAACCTTTAAGTTTTCTTTTATGTTTTGGTTAAAAACTAATTTTGTTTATATTATTATAAAGCAAAATTGTCAATTCTATTTTTTTTTGTATATTTTAATATATTTTGTTTATAACATATATGTTCTTATTGCTTCATTTTTATGAAATATTATATTTTAGCAGGAAGAACCAGCTGCAGCCACCAATGAGGAAGACGACGATGACTTAGATCTTTTTGGAGATGAAACCGAAGATGAAAAGAAGGCCGCTGCAGATCGGGAAGCTTCCAAGGCCTCCACGAAAAAGAAAGAGAGTGAGTCATCCAAGCCACTATATATATATATTTATTTATTACTGTATATTTTTTTTATGATTGAATTATAATATTTTGTGTTGCCCAGGTGGTAAATCTTCAGTGCTGTTGGATGTAAAGCCATGGGATGATGAAACTGATATGGTGAATCTGGAGAAGGCAGTGCGCAGTGTAGAAATGGAAGGGCTTCTCTGGGGTGCATGTATGAAAATATTTACATACATACCACACAATTCTTATGTATTTATGGGTCTAACACCCAAACATTCATATTTACATGCACATCACTCAAATCCTGGACATCACATCAAAAATACCACCATCACAATCCTCTTTAGAAGTAAAATACACATTTTCCTGCATATGTAAATATTAAACTTTGGGTGTTAGATATGTAAATACATAAGAATTGTATGGTATGTATTATGTATCTAAGTTTCCCAAATGTTTACCAATATATTATATATTTTAGGGGTATTTACATACATACCACAAATTGTTATGTATTTATGTCTAACACCTAAATTTCACTTTTTATTTCTAATCGCGTCAAGAGTAGTCTAAAGTGAAATAAATCTTTTCATGCATTGATATAGTGGCATATGTGTAAAAATTGAAGTTTTAAGTGTTAGATATGTCAATACACAGGAATTAGGCTTTATGTATGTAAATCTTCCATAGTTTTAAATGATTTTTTTGATTAGTTTTATTTATTAATTTATGCTTACCTTGTTATATTGCAGCCAAGTTAGTTCCAGTTGGATATGGGATTAAGAAGCTTCAGATAATGATGACAATTGTTGATGATTTAGTGTCAGTTGATTCTCTTATTGAAGAACACCTCACTGTTGAGCCCTGCAATGAGTTCATCCAGAGCTGTGATATTGTGGCATTCAATAAGATCTAACATATTTCTGGAAATTACATTTTTCTAAGCTTCTCAGACCTTTTATGTGAGTTTTGAGTGATATTTATATTATGGTTATGTGGTTGAATATTCAAGATGGATGTTTTGTTATGTTGTTAGTTTGGTTTTTGTTTTTTTTTTATCTTTTCTTTTCCTTTTTTTGTACTTTCAATTTTGTTTGGAACTTTTGAGGATTGTTCTTAATTTATGAGGCTTATTATACTTTTCAAATGTTTGTGTAAGTGATGATTTTTTAGGATCATTTTGCCTAATATTCTATTTATGCAAATGCTCTTGAGAATTTCTATTTATATTAATATTAACACTCAAAATTTCATATTTATATATGCATGAATAGCACTCATATCTTTAATATCACACAAGAATGTCTATTATTTGGGTTTCAAATTAATTTTATCAGTTCAAAGTGTTATAAGTATAGAAATAAAAATTTAGTTGTTAAGTAAATACAGTCAAATCATGTGAAATATATGTAAAGTTTCCTAAAAAAATGAAGGAGCATATCCACAAGTGATTGATTTCAATTAAATAAAAATGATCTTCCTTTTTAATAAATTATCATAAAATTGATAGAAAATAATTTTTAAATGTTGCAAACATAAGTTCTTAATTAACAAACAAACAAAAATGTAGGTGTATTTCATTATAGACACGAGTTTTGCGACTAATGTTATTTTTTATTTTGTCAAGCTCAAGAGTTATGGAGCTGGGTCTGTAAATGAATTAATGCATTTGACAAGCAACTTAAAAGTTCTGACTCGATCAATATTTATTCTTGTTTATACAAATTAATAAATAAATTGAGTTTGAATAATTTTTTAAAATTTAAAACTTGAATTAAACAAATTTGAACATATTTCAACAATTATATCTAGATTAAACTTAAATAAGCAGAATTTATTTATTAATAACTTTTTCAATACTAATTAATTATAATTTAATTTCAATATTAATAAATTTAATATGATTTTATTATTTTTTTAATTTATTAAATATTCAGTCATTTTTATAAATTAATCTAACAAATTTAACACTTAATTATGTTCTTTAATTTACCAAAAAGTTTATGACAAATTTATTTAATATTAACTAAATATATATTATTTTGAAAAGTAATACTTGTTTCTTTATTTTACAAAACAAATCAAATACCAGTTTAAAATTTTTATCACCTTAAAAAATCACGCACAGATTAAATATTGAATTTTATACGCAAATGAAATCCTCATTTAAACTTTAGCTTTTAAATTAATATAAAAAATCAAATACAAATCAAGTAAGAAAATTAAAAATTTCAAAGGTACAAGCATATTTTTGAAGCTACAGTCTCAAGCTTGAATTGAACATGAATGTATGATTCTCCCTAGCCAAATCCAAATCATGACATACTCAACTCGACTGGATTACAATCCTAGATGGAACTAACTTGTAACAAACAATACCACTATTTTTTACTTTTAAAAATGCAAATACACCTTTTGAAGCATTAGACAAGATGTCATGTAACAAAAAAATTGAAATTTAGATGTTAGAAACATAAATACATAAGAACTTAATAGTAAGCATGTAAATCTTAAAAAAAAAAAAAACCAGCCTCATTTAAAAAATCCCAATAAATTAAGCAACAAAATGCAAAACAAAGTATCACATCAAATTTAAACAAATCATGATTTTAGATAGCTTACAGTGCCAACTAGCAGAACAACACTAAGTTTTATGGCTGAAATGTAATTAAATATCACCAATAACAGCAAAAGCCACCGACAACAAACAATAAGCTCAACCCATAAAAAACTTACGTGGTCAACTCCATGATAGCAGTAACAATATCACCATCAGCCGCTTTAAGAGCCTTAACAGCCTTGCTCCTCGAAACACCAGCCTGAGTCATCACCAACTCAATGTCCTTCGGTTCCACCCCAGTTTCGTCGACCTCTTCATCGTCTTGAGCTACTGACGTGTCCGGCTTGCTGCTTATCACATGGCTCAGATCCGGGGCTCGGAACTGCTCAGCAGCCTGGCTTTGCAATTGCGAGCTCAGATCCTCGATCTTCGCTTCGCCTAAGATTACGTACGTGTCGGAATTCGGGCTCTTAAACACGTCTGGTTTTGAGATGACGAAGAGGATCTACAAGCAGAGTCAAATATTTGAACAAAAGGGTGGTGATGGTATTAAAGATGATAGGGAAATTTACATACTTTTAGCGCACAATTGTTATGTATTAACATATCTCACACCTAAACTTGTAAATACATAAGAGTTGTGTGATATTTAGGTAAATACCACAAGATAACATTGCGGGAAAAATTGAGAAGGGGTGAGAGAGCGAGAGGGAGAGAGGGAGGGAGAGAGAGGGAGTCACATTTTTGCTCTTCTTCACTGTGACACGGCTGATACCAGGGATGGGTTTCATTCCGAGCTTCAGCATGGCCTTTCTGCTCTTTTTTTCGCTTCTGCTTTGCTTGGATCTGCCACTCGCATCACCCGCTTGACCTGTATTTAATGTCATAGAAGATGGGATTTCACTCAACCGACAGACAATATATAAAGGGATCAAATAAAAGGGTGGTCTTTATACATAGCAACATTTTTTTGTAAATATTTATATGTTTACCACTTAAATTTATATATTTAAGATTAAATCACAAAATAATCTTGAAAAATCTTCATTGTGAAAAAATTTAGTCTCGGAGTAATAAATCCCTGAACCATACAGAATGATCCACTCATGTAAAAACTATGATACAAAGTGATCCTAATTCAATTTATGTCGATTTAGTCCTTAAGAGGATTATTTTGGCTCAATTTTGAATATTTGAGGTACTAAATAAGAAAACAGTGATACTTTAAAACTAATCTACATACGAATAGCCGGGAAGTTAATTTGAAAGGTAGCTATTTAATTATATACAGGATCACATGAGAGCATATACATAAAAAAGAATATTTTAATTTACGCAAGTTAAAATTAGAGTTTTTTTATACTTAATTTAGAGTTTGGCACTGCTGAAGGATGTATAAATTACATAAATATTGAGGGGAAAGCAATTTTTTTGAAAATGGTAAAGTATAATAAATATTTTCCTTTTTTTTTTTTTTGATAAGATAAACCAACTTTTATTAAATTTTATTAAAGCTACCACACTTTTAACATATCTAATCATAAAAAATTGTGCTTCTCCAACCAAAGGACGTTTTAAAGGTAGCAACAAGCAATGGCACACAAACATAGGTTTTGTCTAGAAAACAAAAAAATTAAAAAGCCACCCCAAAATAGACTTTGAAATTTAGGTGTTATACAAATAAACTTAAGATTTGAGTATTAAATATGTAAATACATCAAAATTTGGTGGTACATAAAGACATCCTTAATAAAAAAAAAAACATTCTTAGAATATTTTTCAAGTGCCAATGTGTGAGCCTTTCAACGATTTTAGTGTAAAATAATTTTCATATGCCAATGCTTGGTTAGAATACTTTAGTATCGGCTTAGTGTAGTAAACACGCCGACACTAAAAGCAAACATTTACAGCACACAACAGTTTATCCTTACCAATGAAAACCAATCCCACCCATCATAACTAAGCTGCTCCATACAACAAGTGATACATTAACTCTAGCTAAAAGGGCTTTCAAACCTTAGATAATAAGTGCAACACTATAAAGGGCTTCTCTAAATGAGGCAATTTAGGTTTTATATAATTGACATTCTTAACCTTCATTTGACCCTTCTCACCGTAAAATTAAGGGGGAAAAGAGACTCGAGGTGGCACATCTGATCATTCTCTAAAAGGCTCGATAGATAGAGAAAGAAAAACGACGACACAATAACAACAAGCCTTTAATCCACTAATTAGGCTCGGCAACATGAATCATTTTTCTCCATTATGTCTTATTGCGTGTCATATTTTCATTTAATTCTAATAACTTAAGATTATTTTCTATACAACATGCCCAAGTTTTTCTATGTCTGCCTCCACCTTTCGTAACATAAGTTAATTTTAAAACATAAGCTCTCCTAAGGTCATCAAATGGTCGAGGTTTAATGTGATTACCATCTAAGGCAATTCTCTCTAATCTTATAAGCCACTGGAGTTACTCCAACACTTTCACAGATATATCCTTTCACATATTGTTTCTAAGTGTAAAATCACTCATCCACCCGAGCATTCTTATCTCAACAACACTCAACTTAATTTTATGCTTCTCTTTTACAGGCCAACATTCTGCGCCATAAAGCAATACAGATCTGACCACCATCTTATAAATTTTCCTTTAGTTTAAGCAATAGCATCACACAATATGCTTGACACATTCGTTCACTTCGACCATGCAACTTGAATTCTACTAGAAACATCCCATTTATATCACCATCACTTTGATCAATAGACCTAAGATATCTAAAATGTTCACTATTTTCAATGGCATGATCACTTATTATTACAATCTTGCCACTAGATCTACTACTACTAAAATTACATTCTATGTATTCAATTTTAGATCGACCAAAACGAAAGCTTTTAGACCCTAAAGTTGACCTTTCAATTTTTTTCCCAAACTCTCTCTCAAACTTATCCACAAGAAGAATATCATCAGCAAAGGAATACACCAAGATACATCCTCCTCTAAATGGCCAGTAAGAACATCCATAACAAAAGAAAATAGAGAAATAATAAGATGAAATAATTTATCTTCATGATCTTCACCACTGAGTAACACTACCTCGCCTTCGTATCAACCGCTAATTGGTAAAGCTAAAACATTGTTGCCTAAGAAAACAATAGCACTCCCTCACCATCAAACTCATCCAAGACTGTATGTATCACCCATCATTTTATGAATATATGCCCAACATCGACTCCCATGCCCATCATCATAATAAAGGAATTCCAAATACTCAAAAAAGGGGAGGGACGTGACAATTTTGAAAGGCTCAATTTATTTCTTCATAAACATATCTTTTATAACGAATAAACTCTCTTATAACGAAACCTAAAGAGCAACCTTAACTAGACAAATATTTTATCACCCAATCCCACATTGATTCAAAATGTCAACTTTTGAATCATATTAAGTGTTTCTGGATTTATATGAGCAAGTCGATCATTTTCAAACAATCATACAAATCTATTAGACGACCAATTCAATTTTATGCCAAGTCTATCTTGCCGCTTTAACGGGACAAATAAGATCATAACTTTATTCACTCCTTCAATTCTCATTTGTGAAAACTAACACAATTTTCATTGATCATTCCATCACCAATCTTGATATCATGAAAGATCCTTTCTATTAGTTAGAGATATGTTGTTAAAGGAGGAAGTCACTCTACCCATCTTCAATGGTAAAATTTATCAAATTCCAGAATTCCACTTCGAGCTCCTATATGGAGCTTTTCTTGGGAGTCTTCTACTAAAAGATTATTTACTCCATCCTTATTGAGACTCCGTAACTTCGGAAGTTTCTACAGTAACAATAAGGCAATCAGACACCGATGAGCCAAATCAAAGAAATTGTAAGAGGAAAATCTTTGTCCAGACCCCTGCAAAGCAAACTAATTTCCAATCCCTCAATTATCATTTACAAATCTAAGCTTAAGGGGAGGGAGTTAATCTCCTTATCAAGAACCTCTAACTATAAATGCTAAGAACGATGAACAAGAATCCTATCAATGCCTTCCACTTATTTTAAGATCGGTCTCATAAGAAAAAAACTCCAATTCTTCACTGGACCTCTTTATGGCTTCAAAAGCCATCAAATTAGGATTAAGGGACTATTCATTCTACATGTCACCTATGATGCACAAACACTTCTAACTAAAAAGCCGTGCACCCGACACACACCAGACACATATCGAACACGTCCTGGACGTGTCTTATTTAAATAATATTAATATTAAAAAAGGACGTGTCAAAAACAAGTCTTAAATTAGTGAAATAAAAACTAAAAAAAATTAAACATTTATGATATATTTTTTATAAGTAAAATTAAGAAAATTCTTATTTAAAGATTAAGCATATGTTTGGATTTTTTGTCCAATTTCTTTTCTAGCAGATGAGCACAAGCGGTTGGCCAATCACTCACCTAGATTGATATTTTTCATTATGAACAATTTAGTTTTTGAAAGATAGCTGTTATTTTTTTTTATATTATGATTATTTTTATTATTATTATTTTATATATATATTTTTGTAACACATGAAAATATACTACATTTCACATAGACACACTAACTGATTTAAATTTTATAATTAAAAAAAATTTTTAACCATAGAAATATCTCGTGCCCATTTTACATAAATACTAAAGCAAAAACACCTTTTATATGTATTTTTCTTCGAAACTTTAGTCGTTTGTCAATCTATAATGAATTGCTTATTAACATAATTACTTTTCTTACTATCTCTAAATTTCTATGCAACTATAATAACTATAATAAGTTTAATCATTTCATATAGTGTTGTAGCCTTAAAACCTCAGCAAGGTAAGGTTAATCCAAGGCAAAACATATCTTTATAATCAAACATCTACAATGTCTTTAGAATGGGTTCAATCAATCCTTAACAATTCAACTTGAGATCTTCTATAATAGGTTACAATCATCGAGCAACCATCTAATAAACAAACCTTAAGTAAGCTAACATTCTTCACGAATTCATATGTTGGATACACAGAGACTACCCGACCGACCCATCCATATAAAGAGAATACTCCAATTCCATCTAATATACATGAAACACCAATCTCCTAGGTCCAATTTATGGAGACTATGTTCTCATGCACAAGTATAATTTTTCCCCCTCATGAAGCAACATCTTCAATCTGTGGCCTTGTCAAATATTGAACTATAAAAACTGTTGTACAAAAAAAAAATGTTGTCTCTAGTCGCTATTCCAGACGTACCTAGTCCTATGATATGTTTATCAAACAATCAAAATATTGGGAGGCAACCATGGCACCCTTCGCTCCAACATTTTATAATTAAAATGGTAAATCACATGAGAGCTAATAGATGATTCAACCTAGGATGAAACCTCGTGTTAGACAAGATTCATGGTCACCAAGACGTTGAACTAAGCCACAACCCAAAGCAAAATCCTTCAATCTTGGCTAAAATTTTATTCTCCAAGTCAATGAAGTGACCAAGTTCCCAATCAGATTTATTTCTTAAACACTAATTGAAGTTATTTTCAGTAAGGTATAAGCCAAGGAAATGACCCTAAGTTGACACTTTTTCTTCAATCTTTGGCACTTTCTCCAAATACCACCCAACTCTTATGTGTTTACATATCTAACCTCTAAATCAAAGTTGGGGGACCCGAGTGCGCCATTTTAGGGACATTTAACATAAACACCGCCTAAATCCTATTTATTTACATATCTAACACCTGACCTTGTATTTTTTATAATCATACTACCCAAATAAATTTTAAAAATAATTAAATTTAGCCTCTTTTTAAAATATATAAAAATTAATATAAAAAATAAATAAATAAATATTATCATTTAATTATTTCGAGTTAAAAAGAGCCAAACACAAACAAACAAAACTTTGTTAGTGTTTTTATAAATCAAGCACAAAAAAAATTGATCAAGTTTGGCTTGTTTTCTTCAAGAACAAATCGAACACGAGTTATCTATAGAGTAGAACAAAAGATGTTATGACGAGCTTTTTTGACAGTCCTAGTAGCAAGACTTTAAAATATTGAAGTTCATCAAATAATAGTTCATAAAATATTATTTACAAGTTTTTCGATCATGGATTTCATAACATCAGTGTCTTTTCACTATTGTTGAATATAATTCATGCAAACCAGGTACATGACCAATTCAAAAAAAGTCCCCAGCATTAAAACTTGTTTTGAAAAGTGAGAAAACTTTGAACAAGCTATCATAATTTTAAGAAAATATCAAATTGTTAAAAAAAGGCTTAACATAGATGTTGTATCAATGACTTAATATTTTTTTATTGTACACAGAATTAAAAATAAAAATAAAGAGTAATCACAAACAGACCCAACTAATTTGGGTTATGGACCATTATTATCCTACTTTTTATTGCGTTAATCATATTGAAAAATGATTCAAGAAACAATGTTCCTGAGGGCTGTGTTTCATTCAATGGCGATACTTTGAATGTTTTTTAAATGCATGTACTTTAAAAATATAGAGTAATTAAAATGTCACACTCTTAGTTGTATGTTAATGCAATGAAAAATTTTTCAGGCTTCTTACGATCCAATTTTAAATGCATTGTATTACGACATGCAACACCAATTAGCGCGCATGCATCCAAAGACAAGGGGATTGCGTTGGGAATGACGGTAGAAAAGACAGAAATCGCATGTAGCGAGTTTTGCTTGCTTTTAAAATTCACATGATTTGGGCCAATTCTAAATTCATCAACATTCTATATTATTTCAAATTCCCTACACAAATACCTTCAGTTTTAATTTTGATTCCCTACATTCTATATTATTATTATTATCTCCCAAATTATCATGGTCCCAACGCACTCCCAAACCAAGTCCGATTCGAACACAAACGGGTTCATTTGAATGGTTTTGACGATATGGACGTGTTCATGTGATATGTTTCGCGAAACAACCCTAAACCGAAAGAAAATTTGTACGTAGAATAGGATTTCATATATGAAAGTTTTGAAACACACACTCTACCTAAAAAATGTATCAAATTGTTGTCGAACTCGAAATATGCTCCTCCGAGCATAACAATGACTACAACGCAATTTAAAAAATAAAATTAAGCATTACAATGAGCCAACAAGACCATGATAATGGGTTCATTTTCTTACATTAAGTTGAGTTTAGTTCAAATTTAAGTTTTACATTAAGTTCATTTAATTAAATTTCAAATTGTGATGATTTTAATTTTATTTTTTATTTGAGTCAAGCTCATACAAATCAAACCTAAGTACATCCAAACCAATCCAAGATTAACTCAAAAAAGGCATGGGTTAACCAAGAGTCTAAAACATGTCTAAGTCATGAAGTCAAGTCTCTAGACTCAATAGATCCCCTGGAAGTCATATCAAAGACCTTATAGGCCACTCAACATTTAATATTAATAACCTAGACATGATCAAGTCAACACAAAAATATGAGCTAAGGATTAAATTTAAGCATATTTCAAATTAAAGGGAGTGAAGATTTAGGTTGAATTCTAATTTTGGGTTTTAACCATTCACTACTCTAAGGTAGCCTCTAAGGAAGTTTTAAGGCTGGATCCTAAGCTATGAAGATGTGGAGAAAGAGAGAAGATAAATCTTACCAAAAGTGGTCAACGCCACTTTATATTCAAAGGAAAAAGACACAACTTAAAACCACAGAAGACTAAATAGTTCAGTTTGTCTAGAGTATGTGTGACTGCCACTAAACTATATTGATAACTTCAAGAACAAGTTAACATGCAGATTCAAAGGACAATTTGTTAGTAAAAGGAGTCTTGGTTTACCTTCTACATTCTCGTCATCTTTCTCATCGTCATCCTCATCATCATCTTCATCATCATCATCTTCAACAATAGGCTCATCGGGCTACAAAAGAGGGAATTAAGAATTTTGCAATGGAAAGTTAGTTAATATAGAAAATTTAACAAGATAAAATTAAAATGAGCAAAAAAAAACTTGAAAAATAGCAGTAGTGCAAGTAGGTAACATTGCCAAACAATTAAGCATCAGTTGAAGATTAACAAAATGCGAGTACAAAACTATTTTGCAACCAATTGGAATTATTTCGACCAAACTCCTATAAATATAAGAACCACTAAAATTTGAGTATTTTGGCAACCAAAAAAAAAAAGACTGACTGACTAAAATCACTATAGGTAGAAATTAAATAATTCAAGAAGATTAAACCAGAAATAATCAATCCCTGTGGAGTGTGCATAAGAGTTTTTCTGATGGTCCATACACTTATACATCAAGTTATACCTAATTAGGGGTAACTAGATTAGGCAAACAGACCAAAAATTAGTAACCAAATATTAATTACTTAATTTGTATGATTAGTATACTATTTTTTAGTTTTTTTTTAATAAATATGTATATATATTATTGACATGTCCAACATGTGTTCGGGACACATAATTTCATCAATAGATATGTCACGTTGTCGGTCAACTTTTTTTTCGATTAGATTTATTTGAAAAATAGGATATATAAAAATAATTTTTTTTGGGATTTAATTTAAATATAAAAGATATATATAGTTTGGGTTTTGAAAGCAGTATGTTTTAATTTTTGAAAAATGAGACCAAATTGATCTCATTAGTCTGATAGTTTGCAAAATCGTGCCTGATACCGCAAATACTACACCTTCCCGAGAGATAAGTGTAGACCTCAGCGATAGACCCAATCCTGCAAACTATGAGATTTGTGACATCCGTTTGGTCTGCGAACTTTTTTTATATATGACCGACAAATTCCCCTATTTAATACAAAGATTAAATAGGATTTATTTTACCTGAGTTTCAAGTTCCCTATAGAGGCAAGCCCCTATAGTTAATTACATCCCAAATGACGGGAGTCACTTGAGAAAACTCTCGATAATGATCAATGGTTCTAGTCTTCAAGAATTCAAG